ATCAAGGTCAGGGTTTGATTGTGCCAGAATATGGGAAATTCCTGGAATGGAACTGTTATCCTTAACATGGAAAGGGAGGGGTGGCTCAGAGGAGAGTGATATTCAGAGTGACTACTGAGGACAGTTAGAACAGGGGAGATCTATACTGCAGAGTGGCTACTGGGGGCAGCCGTACAAACAAGAGAATGACCAGCAGACCTTGCATTTGCCATCTTGCCTGCCATCAGGGGAAAGTGGCCCTTCTTTCCCCTAACCTGTCCATTCTTGGCCCTTGGCAGCAGCACTGGAGGGAAGGAGGAAAGGAGAGAGCCATGCTGGCTTCAGCAGCGAAAGGGGGTGCTGCATGGGGAGCACAGACCCCAAACGGCCGCTTGCACTGCTTGCTTCTGTGTGGTGTGCTGGCTGAACGGTGCAGAAGTCAGTGGAGCACCATGGCAGGAGGTGAAGGGGGGTGGGGCCATGACGTGCAGCATGCCAGAGGCTCCAGGCCCTGCCCCCAGCCATGAGCATCACCACCCTGCCCCCCTTCACCTCCTGCCGTGGCGCTCAGCTGACTTCTGCACTGCTCAGCTGGGTCTGTGCGTGGGAGCAAGTGGCGCAAGCGATCATTTGGGCTCCGCACTTCCCATGTAGCACGGGGAGAGCGGAGCCCAAATGACCGTTTAGGATCCATGGTCCCCCGAGTGAGAGGCAGGAAGGGGAGGAAAAGAGAAAGAGAGAGACAGAGAGAGAGAGCCAGGAGGCGGAGGAGAGCTGAGAGAGATAGAGGGAGAGGAAGTAGGAGGAGGAGAGAGAGAGAGAGAGAGGGTATGTCTACACTACAAAGTTAATTCGAACTAACAGTCGTTAGTTCGAATTAACTTTGATAGGCGCTACACATACAAAATTGATACTTAAGGATGGGACAAAAAGAAAAAAGGGTGGGTCATGAAATAAAATGAGGCAGGGAATCCCTTTACTACTCATGTAAATTTGTTGCCTTAGCATTTTCAAAAATTGTGCTTGTTTTACCCCAATTCCACTTCCCTTTCTATACAAACAGGAGAAGAGAGAGGAAATTGCAATTGGCATAGAGAAGTAAATTTCAAATGGGGAATTTGGTTTCTGTATGGATTAATTTTAAAATCTACTTGTCTGAGGGGCCTTTGAAAGTGTAAAGTTTAGCTGCATCTGTGATTTGATCAATTACAGGAGCATCAAGAGATTTCCCTGTCTGTAGATTAGTTCTTTCCTTGCTCCCCTCATTTTTGTAATATTCACAGTCATTCGCTGTGACTGTGTTTCATTTTCCATATCTTTGGCCTGTACTAGAATAACTTCTATTTTACCTTCAGCCTCTCACTTCTCTCAATATTCAGAACCATAGTAATGTCTTAAATCATAATACTCCAAGATAATTTTTGGGAACATCAAACACCCCTACATACTAATAAGGTCATAGTGAGTATAAATAATACATATGGATGCATTTTCTGTGACAAAGAACAGGTTGATTGGTCAGCATGAGCCTTAGGAGGAGAGAAGTTGATTCAAGGTTGAATCTTACTTTTCATTTCCCTCTAGTTAGTGTTTAAGGCAGAGGATGGGATTAGTAGGGCAAAGATAATTGACCCAAGATATCTGAAACTAATCTACATTCTCTTCTTGCATCAAGTCTACACTAGGTCACAAGGGCGAACTAAGGCCACATCTCCACTTACCAGAAGATCGATGCTCCTGCGATCGATCTTCTGGGGTTCGATTTAGCAGATCCAGTAAGGAGAGTTTCTCCCATCAATCTCCTGCTGTGGAGCCATGCTAGAAAATCAGTGTAAGCTATGTCAACTGCCACTAGGCAATTCAAGTAGTTGGAGTTGCAGCTCTTGCATCGATTTTCTCTGCCAGTGTAGACCAGGCCTAACATACACAACTCCAGCTACGTAAATAGTGTACTGAAGCTAACATACCTTAGTTTGAATTTCCACAGCATCCTCACTATGGGAAGTTGAGGGAAAAAAACTCCTATCGACTTCCCTTACTCCTTGCTACCCAGTGGAATATCGGAATCAGAGGGGGCACAATCACCGTCAATTTAGCACATCCTTAAGAGACCTGCTAAATTGAACCTCTGAAGATCGATCTCCTCAACATCGATCTGCACAGCATGAGTCTCCCAGTAAGTGGAAACAAGTCCTTGAGAAGTGACCTGAAATCAGAACTTTGCAAATTGAGAGCAGCTAGTTACCTATTTTGCCATCAGTTCCATCCTGTTTGTTGGTAATAAATAAATATCAAGTGACATTTAGGTTTTTATGTTCAGCTCCAGTATCAGGAGAATTTTCTACATTTCTGCCGATTTTCTACATGTTTCCTGTTCTATCAGAGTACATTGATAGCGCTGTTGTATAATATTTGTGATCTTCCCTTGCTCCCCTCATTTTGGGAATCACTGATGCAACTATTCTCTATTTTTATACTTAATTTTAGAGGCTGCTGGAAGATGTGGGCCCCCACCTGTTATTGATAATGGAGACACCATTGGCTTTGCACAGAGAGAGTATGACTCAGGTTCCACAATGAAATACCAATGCCAAAGTTTTCATGTAATGGAGGGTTCTGCATATGTTCACTGTCAGTCTGGCCACTGGACAGATCCACCAGTTTGCTTAGGTAGGTTTAATAGCTGTGATATGAAAAAACTGATTAAATATACAATGGTGTTTATGGTTTTTTAATATTATGGGCCCAGTTCTGAAGTCACATGTAGTAATAGCAGATAAATTCATCAGTCTGAATGAAGTCACTCATCGTTTACACTGGAGTATGTGGGGGAGACTCACATTCTTTCTAGGGACATCACAGCACGCATTAAAAAGAAAAGATCAGCAAACATGTCATTATGAGTCTGTGGAATGTATTGATCCCCCAAATAATATCTCAGTTACAGCCTATGAAACCCTATTATAATGAAACCAACATTTTTATTCAAAAAGCTTTGAGGTATAGCAGATGCTGTCAGAGACAATCCAATAATTTATGGGTTAGGATGAGCAATATTGGTTACTGCTTTTAAGGATTTTGGAGGAGACTTACATACATAAGAACATAAGAACATAAGAACGGCCGTACTAGGTCAGACCAAAGGTCCATCTAGCCCAGTATCCTGTCTACCGACAGTGGCCAGGACCAGGTGCCCCAGAGAGGATGGACCAAAGACAATGATCAAGCAATTTGTCTCCTGCCATCCCTCTCCAGCCTCTGACAAACAGAGGCCAAGGACACCATTTTATCCCCTGGCTAATAGCCTTTTATGGACCTAACCTCCATGAAATTATCTAGCTTCTCTTTAAACTCTATTATAGTCCTAGCCTTCACAGCCTCCTCTGGCAAGGAGTTCCACAGGTTGACTACACACTGTGTGAAGAAGAACTTTCTTTTATTAGTTTTAAACCTGCTACCCATTAATTTCATTTGATGCCTATGTAAGCAGCAAGGGATTCCAGTTTTGCCCAGGGGGAGCGCTAACTGGTATAAAGCTTATGTAGCCTGCTCTGTGCCATCCTTTCATGCTCAGCACATGGGGGTTAGTCAGGAGGGGTGGCTAGAGTACACTGAGGTGCAGTGATGTCTAGCTATGATGCTACCTCTGTGTGGATCTGAAATTATGGTGAATTGATCATGTGGGCGGGTGTGTTCTGGATGTGTCTTTATAGGGACTTTCTAGCGGGCCATGGCCCTATTCTCTTCTTCCGTGTCTCCTGCACAAAAGGGTGGGGAAGAACAATAGGGAGCCCAATGTGCCAGCTTTATAGCAGCAGAGAATGTTTTTCCACACGGATTGTGTTCTGTTGGCCAGCTCTGGCTTGTTTATGGCCCATGTGCATCAGATGAGTGACATAAAGGGGCCAGATTGTAAAACAGAATCTAATCCTCTGTGTCTGTTCATCTAACCCCAATCTCCTCTGTTCTTTCCCCAGTATCACCTCAGATGGTGTAAAAGCCTCTTTCTCTAGATTTTCTTCTTGTTCTCTCAACCTTCCCATCTCTCCTTTGCTTTTCAGAACTTCTTTGAAAATGTTTCTGTTTTATATAAAACATTTGGGAACAAGGTGAATCTCAATCTATTTACAAATTTCAGAGGGGCAGTCATGTTAATCTGTTTCAGCAAAAACAATGAAGAGTCCTGTGTCACCTTAAATACTAACACATTTATTTAAGCAGAAGCTTTCTCATCTGGAACCCACTTCCTCTGTCTCAGGTGGTGGCTGAGCTTCATGACTTTGTCCTTGTCCACCACCAGATTTAGGATGATTCATACATTCAAATCAGCAGCACTGCTCTGGGTACCTATATGGCCCCACAGTAACACATTTGTATGGCTGACATAGAAGAATGCATCCTCCGCTCTTGTCCCAAGTGCCCCTTCTATACTTGCGCTACATTGGTGACATCTTCTTTAGCTGCACCTATGGAAAGGAGGTACCTGAAGAATTCTATTGGGATTTCAAAAATTTCCATCCTGCCATCAATGTCAGCTTGGATCAGTCTACACAAAAGAGCCGCTACCTGGACATTTCCATGTAAATAAGTCATGGTCACATAATCACCTCCCTTTACTAGAAATTCTGTTATTCTTGCCTACATGCCTCCAGCTTTCATCCAGGACACATTACATGATTCATTGTCTACAGCCAAACCCTCACATACAACTGTGTTTGCTTCAATCTCTCAGACAAAGACTTACAAAATCTCTGTGAAGCATTCTTAAAAGTACAATATCCACCCAGGGAAGTGAAGAAACAGATTGACAGAGCCAGATGAATATCCAAAAGTCACCCTTTACAGTGGCAGGCCCAAGAAAGAAAGTAACAGAATGCCACTGGCTATCACTTAGGCCTGATCTACACTAGGACTTAATACTGATTTTAGCCACCTACAGTCAATTTTCTAAGAGATGTATCCATACTACAAAGTCTGTTGCACCGCCCTTAAGGTTTGTTGAAGTCAATTCCTGTACTCCTGCTTTTCACCAGGAGTAACGCTATTCCCGACTATGCATGGTTGAATGCTCGGGTAGAAGCAGCATTACCAATAATTCAATGTTATTGGCCTCCAAGAGACCTCCCGCAAGTGTCTGCTTTGATAGCTTTGGCCAACACTTCCACCTGTACTGCTCTTCCATTGAACTCAAAAAGTTTATTCCTGTTTTTCCCCCAAATAAAAACTCCTGTTATTTTCACAACAGTTTTTTTCCTGCTTGATCTGCAGGGGTGGGGTTTAGTGGAATGAGAGATTTAAGGAAACATGGGGACTGCAGGAATAAATTGTGGAGAGCCATGGGGAGGAGTCTCAAAAGAGGCTTTATATAAGGCTCTCTGATTCTCACTATCCCTTGCTGTGCTCTTGTTATGTTGCTGGTATCCAGCTGCTCAATCTTTTTGGCTAGATGCTCTGCCTCAGCCCCCTACCCTGCCAGAAAAGCCTCCCCCTTGTTCCCACACAGATTATAGAGCACACAACAGACTAACACCACAAAGGAAATATTGTGTTCTCTGAGATCCAAGCAGGTCAGGAGACTCCTAAGCTTCCCCTTTAAATGTCCAAATGCACATTCCACCATGATTCTGCACTTGCTCAGCCTGTTATTGAACTCCTACTTGCTGGAGACCAGTCTGCCAGTGTAGGGCTTCATGAGCCACGAGAGCAAGGGCTAGGCTTTGTCACCTGGGATCACAGTGGATATATCTACCTCTCTGACTTTGATTGTCCAGTAAGGAAAAAAAAGTTCCAGCATGATCTTTTGGAAGAGTCAGGAGTTCTGAAAGATGCATGCATCATGCACCTTTCCTGACCATCCCACATAGATGTTGGTAAAGCAGTCCTTGTGGTCCACAAATGCGACTGATGTACTCTGAGGAATGGTGTTTTGGGCCAAGATGGGGATTTGTGTTGTGTCTATGGCAGTACTGTAGCTAGGGAAGTCCAAGTTGGCAAAGGCATCCACTATCTTGTCCATGTTCCCCAGAATCACTGCCTACTGTGAAATAAAAGTGTTGATGGTTGTGGCTACTTGTATGAGAACAGCCCCGACTATTAATTTCCCCGTCCCAGACTGATTCCCCACTGACCGGGAGCTGTCTGGTGTGGCAAGCTTCCATTGGGCAATTGCCACACACTTCTCCATGGTCACAGCGGGTCTTATGCAAGTATCCCGGCACCACAGGGCAGAAGAAATACATTTTCAGAGTTCCAGGAATGTGGCCTTTCACATTTGGAAGTTTTTCAGCCACTTCTGATCATCCCATCCCTGCATGATAGTGCAGTCCCACCAGTTTGAGGTTGTCTCCTGTTGCCAGAACCAGCATTTCACTGTGTCCAGGGGATTTACTGATAGCTGTGCTAGCATGAGAATCAGAGCTTGCCTGAATGGCACGCACACGTCATGACGAGGTTCATGCACATCCTTTTCCTGGTGGAGCAACATGAGGCTGCTATACATGTATAGCGCCATGAAGTGCACCATGACACACCTGAGAGTGATGATGCTTTCCTGCACACCGGGCACCATTTTCACATTGCTCTGACATACACATGGGCAACCCCGGCACAAAAAGGTATGAGCATACATCGTCCCCTTTATGTCACATGAGCAGGGAGGAACTGGAGAAGTGCCTTATGGGATGATGCTAACATGAGTCCCTCTAACCTCCTGCTTCCAAGCTTTGGACCCAGTGAACACGGGGAGCATAGCCCAGATTGAAAAGCTACCCACACTGCACTGCTCTTTGAGTTGATGCCAGGCTCCATATTGGAGATGTGCTACTTCAGAAAACATTCGATTCTGTCCTGGAGTGAGGACATGAACCTTCACTTCTCAAAATTGGGTGTCCAGAAATCGACCATATTAGATTCAGCCTTATCTCACAATGTAGATGTGCCCTTGGAGCTAAATCTAGCTAAAAATCTCTCCAGCACATTGTCAAAGGTCTACAATCTATCCTGAAAGACAAGCCCTCAGTTTCACAGACCTTCTGAAGCAGGTCAGTCCTCACTTACAGACAGTCCCCCAACCTGAAGCAATTATTCAACAGCAACTACACACAGCACAACAGAAACAGTAACCCAAGGACCAATGCCTTCAACATACTCTATTGACAACTCTGTCCACATATCTACTACTTTGATACCATCTTAGTACCTAACCACAGCAGCCACACCATTAGGAGCTCCTTCACCTTCACATCTGTTAATGAGATATTTGCCCTCAAATGCCAGCAATGCCTATCAGTGAAGTACATTGTGAAACCAGACTGTCTCTATGCAAAAGAATAAATGAACACAAATCAAACATCAAGAATGGTAACATTCAATAGCCAGTGGGAGAGCATTTCAGCCTGCCTGAACACACTCACTACACCTACACTGCAGCCTTTTGCTGGCAGAGAGTATGCAAATGAAGCACTCATTAGCATTTATCACACTGTCATTTGTATATTCTCTGCCAATGCTTTTTGTGCAAGAGGTTTTTGTGCAAAAACAAGCAGTATAGATGGGTCCATTTTGTGCAAAAAAAACCTTTTATGCAAGGTCCTTATATATTTTTCTGTTTCCAGAGCCATGTACAGCATCCCCAGAAGAGATGGAACAAAACAACATTCAGCTGAGATGGAAATATGATAAGAAATTGTATTCACCAAGTGGAGACTTCATTGAATTTGCCTGTGTACGGGAATATGAGAGGGACCCAGAATCTTCTGATTTTAGAGTCCAGTGTGTGAGGGGGAAATTGGCATATCCTAGGTGTATCACACCGTAAGTAATCTGCAATTAACCTATTATTTTGCTGAATTACCTGACTCAAAGTTTTTACTGAGGCATTCTAAGCTTTAGAGAATGGCAGAGTGGCACTCTTATGATGGGTACTATATAAATTCAAGGGAAATCATGGTTCCTGGCCCAGACTATTTGTAATTGGAATATGTAAAACAGATGGTGGATAAACAGGTGCAGCTGATAAGCAAAATGAACAGCATATTACGTGAGGTGGGACAAGCACTCTCTGACACTGGCCTTTGTGGCTTACAGACAGTTTAGAAAAAATCCATACTGGACTGCACACTTTTGATTTCCCTCTGGTGCTGATGTTTAGCTCCTAAATCCCTGCTGCAGCTAGTACTGTTAATAAGTTCAGTGGTAGGCAAAGCTCTCCCAGTCTCCTCTAGTTCCTGGGAAACCCTCTGATCCAGGTGAGTTCATTTGCTGCTCACCTCAGTTATCTGCTGTGTCATTGCAGACTGGGAATGTTGCAGCTGGGCTTCTCAGTCTGGCTGGACACTTGGGAGCTGCTACTTCAAGAAAGACTTTGTTACATTTCAGGCATCTCTCAATCCTTTCTGGGACACTGGACACTGTTCCTCCACTGCCTCTCGTAAAGTCTCACGATCTTGTTTTAGTGGTAGAAATGTAGCTGTGTTAGTCTGGTGCAGCTGAAACAAAAAACAGGACTGTGTAGCACTTTAAAGACTAACAAGATGGTTTAATAGGTGATGAGCTTTCATGGGCCAGAACCACTTCCTCAGATAAAATAGTGGAAGAAAATAGTCACAACCATATATACCAAAGGATACAATTAAAAAAATGAACACATATGAAAAAGACAAATCAAATTTCAGAACAGAAAGGGGATGGAGGGGGGACAAAGGAGGGGGAGGTAAATGTCTGTGAGCTAATGATATTAGAGGTGATAATTGGGGAAGCTATCTTTGTAATGGGTAAGATAATTAGCATCTTTATTCAAATTTGCATGTAAAGTGTCGAATTCATGCTTAAATTCGACACTTTACACGCAAATTTGAATAAAGATGCTAATCATCTTATCCATTACAAAGATAGCTTCCCCAATTATCACCTCTAATATCATTAGCTCACAGACATTTACCTCCACCCGCTTTCTCCCTCCTCCTTCCCCCTTCTGTTCTGAAATTTGATTTGTCCTTTTTGTATGTGTTCATTTTTTTAATTGTATCCTTTGGTATATATGGTTGTGACAATTTTCTTCCACTATTTGATCTGAGGAAGTGGGTCTGGCCCACGAAAGCTCATCACCTATTAAACCATCTTGTTAGTCTTTAAAGTGCTACACGATCTTGTTTTAGGTCTTGTTTTAATTTCTTTCCCATCCTTCACTTTGCCCTTTTGGGCCTAACATTTAGCCAGTATTCAGGGCCTTCTGACACATTTTTGTGGGAGGAGGGAAAATGGAGGAAGAGACAATTCAACACAATTTTTGTTATTTACAGACAATTTACTCAAGTGCTGTTTCTTTGAACAGTTGGCTTAGAAATGAGCAGACTGTTTCTTGCTCACACATCCAAGTCTGCCTTTCTATTCACAACTCTGATCAGAAAGATCTCTCTTGAATCTCTTTTAGGGCCATGCTAGCAATGCCTCTGTTCCTCTTTGTTGCCTTTTTGCCTGCTTCTTACATATGCACATGCACGCGCGCACACACTCCTTACTCGGCCAGAATTATTCCAGCCTTTGTCCAGGTTCATGTGATCTAGTCCATGGGCAGTGCTTTAGCTGTCACTAGACAAATGCTTCCTCATTTAGCTTGAATAAAAGATGACTATCATGTCCATCACCTTCACTCAAGACTTGCTAGATTGAACTCAAAAGGCACCCCATCCATGTGTAGCCTGATCTAAGATTATGTTTAAATTCTAATTACCTACCTTTAGGGTTGACAGGTTCTTTGTCCCGGGATCAGGCCAATATTCAATTATATGTTGATTAGGAACCTTGATGTGCATGGCTGCAACACTTACAATATAGAAACTATTGTGTATTTACAATATTTGCAGTTTATTAATACAGTTAACACAATCACAAACACCCCAATTTCATAAGGCAGGGAATGTACATCCAGATTTCTATACCATAGACTTACATCATTCCTTCTAGAACAATCTAAGGTGTTAGTCCATCATCTTTCTCATTATCTTCACCTTCCCCATCACCAGGGGCCATCCTTCTGTCTCTTCCAAGGATGACATTTTCTCCTCCCTCTCGCCCAAAGGCAAGGGTCCAACTGTTATACTAAGTGATGCTGACACGTTTTATGCATATGCAATAGGGAATGTTTCTAATGCTGAAATTTTCTTTTTCTATTGGTCAATGTATCATTACTCTTAACTTATTATCATATACATCAATTCGTTCCCATGGGCTTTTGTGGTTATCTATCGCAATCTGTGTCCTGATTACTCACCTCAGCCTGAACCAATTATTTGGGACTTTTATATAATAATACATTTGGTGAGTCTGAAGTTATTTTCTCTACCATCCTGTGTGGATGAAAAGTCCAGACCTAAGTTTCCCTTTTTCAGTCCTGGGAAACCAGAAATAAGCTATGACAGTATCTGGGTGAGACTGTGTCTCAACCACAGAAGTCTGTTACCCTCAGCTTCTGCTGATCTTGCAAACGGCCTTTGCAGCAAGAAAAGATAAAATATAACCCAATATTACTTGAGCTGGACTGTGAGCTTATGTATGTTCTTTCATTCAAGTGCAACCCTGCCCTCTAATTGGTTGTAATGCAGACCTGGCACTCATTGGAAAGTGCATTCAGAGGCTGTACCATCTTGTTATACCCAAGAGCAGGAACCACTGCATTGCAGGGGAACCCGACTTACCAGACAGCCTAAGGCTTGGCTGTACTGCACCCATGCTGCTCCTACACCTAATGTCATCTGGCCTGCAACACAGCCCAGTCAGTGCATGGCACCAACAGGCTTGTGGTTGTTTGTGTGGGGGAAGGCAAGCAGCATATGCCCACAGATAGGTACAAGCAGAAGGACCACTAATCTGGGCTCTTGCTAGACTCTTAGGGAGGAGTCTTGATAGACTCCTTGCAGGAGGAATAATGGTAGTTCGAATTAGGAGCTTTAATTCGAACTACCCAGTCCGTGCCACGTGTAGCCACGAGCAGATAGTTCGAACTACGGGCATTTAAAAATGGTGCCCACCCAGAAACATGCAAATGAAGCCCGGGATATTTAAATCCCGGGCTTCATTTGCAAGTTCGAATTCCTACATTAGCCACCCTAGTTCGAACTAGGGTGGCAGTGTAGACATACCCTTATATACCAACATGTCTTGGTGCCAGCTAAGAAAGGACATGGATCCAGGTGGGTTAATGGCAAAGCCCTCCCCCAAGGAGTTGAGTGCTGCTGTGTTAGTATTAGCAGGCCTTCACAAACTTCTGCAGACATAAGGCCTAATGTATTACACCTGAACCCAGACATCAGTCAAGCTCACACAAAGGGCCTATGGGAATGCTGAGAGCAGCTTTTAGAAAATTTCTTTCATTACAGCTTTTAACTAGTACCAAATTAATCTAAATTAACACAAACATGTTAGCATGATAGGAAAGTAACTTGATAGGCTACATGTGTCAGTTCTCCTACTCCTCCGTAGGAATAAGGGAAGCTAATGGGAGCATTTGCTCCTGACGCCCTCCCGCTGTGCTGATGTGGATTTAAGATATGTCAACTGCAGCTATATAACTGACATAGCTGGAGTTGCATATCTTACTTCAACCTTCCTATGTAGAATAGAATAGGTCCTAAAAAGCTGTTAAAAATGACACCTCCTTTATAGCATTATGGGAAGAGAAACAAATCATTCATTCTAGAATAGTGATAGAAATGTAGCCGTGTTAGTCTGGTGTAGCTGAAACAAAATACAGGTCTATGTAGCACTTTAAAGACTAACAAGATGGTTTATTAGATGATGAGCTTTCGTGGGCCATACCCACTTCCTCAGATTTGATCTGAGGAAGTGGGTCTGGCCCACGAAAGCTCATCATCTAATAAACCATCTTGTTAGTCTTTAAAGTGCTACATAGACCTGTATTTTGTTTCAAATCATTCATTCATACTTATGAAGAGTGCCGGCTAGAATCAGCTGATAAGATGTCATGGGATGAAACAGGATAAGGATCATTGCTGCAAACATTCTATCTCCTACAAATGCTAGTAGCTGCACCATAAATACTTAAAAACACACAAATACATATGAAATCAGTATATAGTTTTCTATGCATCTTCTACATTCCACTTCAAAAGAAATATTTGATATGAAAAGTATTTAAACCACTGCAGTTCAAGATTAATGGCAATCAGCTTTTATGGAGTTTGTTCCCATTTATATTCCAAAGAAGGCTAAAATCATCCAGTATGAATTTTATACTGTCTTGTTGAAATCAATATTCTGTTCCTTTGAGAGACCCATATGGGACTTCAGTGTAATGTTTCAAAACATCAATGTGTACTCAAATCATATTTTAGTAATTGTCCTCTCTCTGACAGAGACTCAAGAAAAACAAAAAGAAGCATCACGTTAACCCAGATCTGAGCATCAAAATCCATTGGCCGTTACTTGTTTTGTTCTCGCCTTATGTCCATTGCCACTATTTGACTGGGTGAACTGATATATGTAATCACTTTTTTATCTTTGTGCACAATGTATATTTTTAAACACATTTTAAAATAGTAATAACAGATGGGCAAATATGTTCTAATTCATATCAAACTACTTATAAATATGATTGTCATCTAGCACAGTTGTACAGAAAATACTGACTGCTCTAGTTAAAGTTTAAATTCATACTGTCTTTAATTATTTTTTCCTTTAAAAAATAAATATTTGTATATTTCCTTTGTCACTCTTCTTCAATAGTCTGTATTTTTTATTCCACACCATCATCCCAACATTAAAGTGGAAGGAATCTTAGGATTTGGAGAGAAATGGAGACAAATATAATAGCCTGCAGCTGGCTCAAACAGCACCTTGGTGTATGCGTTTGCCAGTTTGTGAATTATCTATTCTTCTGCCAGTGTATTCAATATACTGGAAATTAAACAAATGCTGTGACAGGGAAGAGCTTATCAGAATCCACACAGACAAATTAATGAAGTAAATCTATAACATTCCATTGATGTAGTGACTGGACTAAATTCTGGCACTGTGGCAAACAGAAACACTGTATACCCAGTTCCCCAGACATGTGTGAAGGCTGACATTTGTCACATTATTGCAAGATTTCCCGTGGCAGTTATGTCACTTATTTTCCTAATGGAATCCATCCATGGTCCTAATTTACTCATCCCAGCTCCTTCCTCAGTGACTGGGGAACGTCAGGCAATTTAAGCTACATTTCTGTTTAAGCAGGGAGGCATGATTCTTAGCTTTCCTAGCTGTGTGCAAGCATAGGCACAAGCTTGGCCTAGCTTCCCTAAGTACAACCTTGTGAAAACATCAGCTACCTACTTGGGTGATGAGCCTAATCTACTGTCATCCAAAAATGGTTCTATGGTCTCCTATGGTTGTTAGTGCAGTGTGGAGCAGTCACTCAAGAGATTGGGGAAGCTTAATCTTCAACACGATCTGATTGATCTGATTAGGGCCAGCTAGCTACCCAGCTAGGTAGGTACGTGGAATGAAAACTGGCTTACTGGTGCTGAGTCTCCTATCACTGGAAGGGTGAAATGTGACCCGAGAGCATAAGTCTTGAGCGCTGCAGAAGCGGAGATGGGGGAGGGGCGTGAAGGCCAGCTCATGCTCCTGGGAAGAGAGGAGTGTTACTTCAGAGCAGGAGTCTGGAGATCTGGTTGACAGCGCTGTGGTTGGGTAGAGAGAACAGGCAAGGCTGCTCCGATTTTCCACCGTATGCAGCAGTGGAGGATGCTGGGGGCTGTTGCAGAGACACCAGAGTCTGAGTTTGGCACTGAGTACAGGCCCAGAAAGCAATATGAGTGTGTGATTTCCCCTCTCTGAGTATGAGTCTCACCTTACATAAACAAAGCTCCACCCTGCTGCTCTGAAGGTAGACATTCCGGTAGGAGGCTGGGGAAGGGAGGGTGGCAGCCCAGGCTACCTTTCAGCACTGACTCACCTCCAGGAACTGCAGAGGCCAGAAGAAGAGCCCAACCATTGCAGACTTGTCTGGGCTACTCAGACTACACAAACAGGACACTGAAGAGGTGCCCTGCAGGATCTCCTCTCATTCCTCTCAGTGTCCTAATAGTGTGGACCTGCCATTTCGAAATAGCAAAACACTATTTCGAAATGCATTTTTTGTCTAGACGCATTATTTTGAAGTAAGCTATTTTGAAATAACACTGTAGTGTAGATATACCCTTATTTCGAAATAGTTAATTCAAAATAAGTTATTTCAAAATAATGAATCTAGACACAAAATGCATTCTGAAATAGCGTTTTGCTATTTCAAAATAGCACGTCCACACTGAGTGGACGCTGAATTGCATTTAAGGCAGGCCTGAACCAGATCCGGCAGGGCATCAGGTCAGGAGTTACTTTGTGTGGCTGCTGCCTGAAGCTATCTGAGGCCAGTGCTTAAAGGGACCTCCCCCCGCCCCGCCCCCGACACCTGGTTCTCAGGTTTCCCTGCTTCCTTGTCTACCTCGATGAGGGACCGCAAAGCATTTTGTCCCTGCATGCTCTGGTTGCCCTCACTCAGGACACCACAGCACTCTGCAACATGGAGCCGGAGCCGCCCCTGGGCACTCTGGTACTTTTCTTGGATGCATTGCTGTGAGCCTAGCTGCATTTTCTGCAGGCTGCCATCCAGGAGGTCCATCGAGGGGCTGTCAGTATCCAGGAGGCCCTGCTGGAGAGCTTCCACCCTGAGGAGATCTAAGAGCCTCCCTGGTGGCTTGTGCCTCATTCCTCCCTCACGTCCTTCCACTGACCCCTCCCTAACCCCCCTTCCTGATGTCAAATAAAATACATGTATTTTCATGAACACAAACTCTCTTTATTTAACAAAACTGGGGAGGGGGAATGAAATTCTGGGGAAGGGAGGCGGGAGAGGGGAGAAAAGAGAGTGGGAGAAGGGAGGGGGAAGCTGGAAGGAGAAAGCAAGAGGAAGAAGGGGGAGGGGAAGCTCAGGGCTTAGGTTAGGGGTCTCACCGGACCAACTTGATTGTCATGCAGTCCTGCTCCTGGGTTCACATGTGGCCTTTGGTAGCGAGCTGGCAGACTGCTCCTGGGGAGTGGTAAAGGGCTGGCTGCCAGGCTTGCTGGCTCATGTTTTGGGGCTACTGGGTCAGGGGCAGTGACTGCTGGCTCTGGGCTGGGATGCTGGGAGCTGCGAGCTGGCAGACTGCTCCTGGGGAGTGGTAAAGGGCTGGCTGCCAGGCTTGCTGGCTCATGTTTTGGGGCTACTGGGTCAGGGGCAGTGACTGCTGGCTCTGGGCTGGTATGCTTGGAGCTACACAGCACTTATTTCGAAATAGCTATTTCAAATTTGGCGTTATTCCTCATAGAATGAGGTTTACCAAATTCAAAATAAGTGCTCTGCTATTTCGAATTAATTTCAAAATAGCGGTTTGGCTGTGTAGACATTAGTGAAGTTATTTCAGAATAAGGGCTTTTATTTCGAAATATCTTTGCCGTGTAGACATACCCTCAGAGAGGGTATAAAACAACCTCAGTCGTAAAAGGGGATTTCAATTAACCCCAAATTGACTATGTACACATCCCCTCAAGATGGTATGAAGAAATAAATTTTCTTAACACCTTAAATTACTCCTTCTGGAGCAGCTGATTCTGGAACCCACAAGGGGAGAGACAATTCTTGATTTTGTCCTAAATGGAGTGCTTGGAAACAGTGATCTTAATGCAATAAAACTGAACATCCCTGTGGCAACAATGTAGCATTTAATTTCAGAAAGGGGAACTACACAAAAATAAGGAGGTCAGTTAAAAAGAAATTAAAATGTACAGTACCAATAGTAAGACCACTACAAGCTGCATGGAAACTTTTCAAATACAGGAGTTTGAAAAGAGCCAGAATAGAGGCTCAACTTAAATGAATGCCCCAAATTAAAAAACACACTAAGAAAACCAAAAAATGTGCCACCATGGCTTAACAAACAAGTTCAAGAATCATTGAGAGGAAAAGGGCATTGTTTAAATAGTGGAAATTCAATCCTAGGGAGGAAAATAGAAAGGCAAATAAACTCTATGAAATGAAGTGTAAAAAGATTAGTAAGACCAAAAAAGATTAGCCAAAAATTCAAAAACTAATCATAAAAATTCTTTTAAGAACATCAAAAGCAGGACTCTTACTAAACAACCAGTGGGATCACTATATGGTCGAGATGCTAAAGGAGCACTCAAAGGCTACGTCTACACTGCAGGCTTCTTGAGCAAGAACATTTTGCGAAAGAGAATTTCCGCAAAAATTTCTTGCACAAGAGAGTGCAAGAGAGTATCCACACTGCAAATGCTTTTGCGCAATAGAAAGCGTCCACACTATGTGGACACTTTTGTGCAAGAAAGGCCACCCAGAAACACTTCAGGCAGGGAATGAGGTTACCAGTTGCTTCCGAGTGCTGGTGCTGGAGCCCTGCAGAGATGCATGCTTAAAGGGCCCCCCCCGGACTGCCATTTTCCTGCCTCTGCTGCCTGCTTATGGACCTCTTGAGGGACATCAAAGCTGTTAGCAGTGCTTGCTGTGCTAGCCCTGTGCTTCTTTGGACACCACAGCTTTCTATTCCCCTTCAATTGCTGTTATGAAGCCAGAGCTGTCCCTGGGCATGTCCTGGCCCCACATGGCCATGCTTGAGCGTGTGCTGCACGTGGTACATGTTGCTATGCGGCTACTCCAGGAGCGCAACCATGAAGACACTGTGGAGTCCCTCTCCCGGGGTGTTGCAACTTCATCGCTGGACCTACAGCCCACCATGGAGCAGTGGTTCTGGAAGCTGGACACCAATTCCGACAGGTGGGACTGGCTGGTGATAGAGCACTGGGATGACCACCAGTGTCTCCACAACTTCAGGATGAGGAAGGACATTTTCTTGGAGCTGTGTGCCTGGCTCACTCCACACTCTGGAGACAAGACACTGACCTGTGGCCAGCCATCCCCCTGCAGAAGAGGGTCATCACTGCCCTTTGGTAGCTCACCACCCCGGACAGTTACCAGGCAGTGGGCAACCAGTTCAACATGGGAAGTCCACTATTGGGGGCATCCTCATGCAGGTAGGGCCTTCTGGGACTGCAGTCACTGCACAGGGGGAAGGAAGGGTTCAGTCCTGGCTGTGGGGGGCAGCGTGGGGGTGGAGGAAGATCCGTCCCCTGGGGGGGTGCCATCCTACCCTCACACAGCCCTGCTGCTAGGGGGATGATAGACTCGGGGTGTGGGGTTCCTGGAGGGTTCAGAGGGAGAGGGTACAGAGGGGGCAGGCATCTCACAAGGGCTCACTCTCCCCCTCCTTCTCAACCTGTTTTTTTTGTTTCTCCATGTCCTTCTGCAGGTGGTGAGAGCCATCAGCTCCCTCCTGCAGAAGACCACTGTGGCCAGATTCACTGCCTTGGGGTTCTCCAACTGCAAAGGAGCCATCGATGGGACACACATCCCCATCCAAGCACATGACCATTGAGCAGCACGATTCCTCAACAGAAAGGGTTACTTTTCCATGTGGTCGACCACCGGGGACACTTCACGGATGTTTTTGTAGGGTGGTTGGGCAGGGCACATGACACTCACATTTTTAGGAACTCCAGCTTGTACCTCAGGCTGGAGGTGGGCACATTCCTCCCCCGCTGGGAATTTGCCATCAGGAATGTGCAGATGCCACTGTGCTTCATGGGGGATGTGGCCTACACATATGCCCTGGATTATGAAGCCATACACTGGACAC